TGAACTGCTTCCTTCGGCCTTCCTTTCTCTATCTTCAACCGCTACCGTTCATAGACCGCTCCTTCGACAGATTGTCGAATCTTGGTGCCATGCTCTGGGACGATCGTGTCTCGGTCTTTCCTACCATTTCATTATCGCAGGCTCAGCATTGTCAGCGAAGGAGATTCAGGAAGCTGTGGCATCCAGTCTGCAAAAGGGGACTTCATTTGTAGAAGCATGGGATACCGGCTGCTTTGATGATCAGAGCCGTCAGCGGGACTACGTCCTTCAGTTCATTCCTGACCATCTCAGGAATGACCAATCTGTTACGGTATTACTGGAGAGAATTTGGATGTGGCTACGTGGACGGTAAGTCCTGTTATGTCAACTCTGATGTCTGGGAATGGTGACTTAGCTGGTGGCAGGCATCGTTTTACTTCAAACCTCCTCTGCTTGCTTATCACCCAAGGCTTTCAAGATCCTTTGGTCGTGTTCAATGCTTTTGTTGAGCACGTCGCAGGGTTCACACCGACCGATTTCATCCTGCATCCCAGGCAGCAGGCCTTGACTACGAGTATCCCTATGTTTACCGATCCCTTACGGAAACAGTTTGATCAGCTCGGTAAGTGCACCTTCTAAAATACGCTGACGGATTCTCATCGTGGTTCTTTATAGAAGATGAAATGAAAATGGAACTTCGAGATGTCGCGTACAAATACTTTGTTGGTGGAACTCCCACGCCTTTCCTTAGGGGAGCACCGCGAGGTTTCTCGAACTCGGCATCGCGCGATTTTGCAAAGAGGCACACCTTGGAGCACGTATCCATGAACCATTGGTTCTCATGGCTGCAGTAGCATATTTCAATCAGCTGCATAGCCCTTTCGATAATGGTCTCTCCGCATATGTTTGCAAAAACTTTCGGAACAGTCCCTCGGACAGCACTTTCAGAGACTACCTGGCATTCTATCTTGCCTCTGCGCTTGCGGCACCTCAGAAGCTGGGAGACCTCTTCTCTTTCCCTGGCGGCGACCATGGGCTAGGATCCAGACATGCTCATCTCGTGGCACTGCGTGACTTTACCGAGAATCCTACCGAGCCTCCTCGACGATATCCGATAAAGGGTACCTGGAACGTATCTGGGCTGAACCATCGTTATTTACCGGAATATGGGGGTCTCCTGACTTCTCGGGCGGCTGATAGTAAAATCAGCGAGCACACTGAAAACTACTTTGGTTTTGTGACTCATATAAGACCAGATGACCACATTGGGATATTCTATCCAGAGACGGCGATGGGACCTAGCATGCTCTTTCTGGTGGAACTCGACGATAGCTCACCAGATACCTTGGGACAGCCACAGTATCTATGGATAGCGGTCAAAGTCATGGTTGGCCAAGCGAGCAGGCTCAGTCCCTTCCAGATAAAACAGTATGTGGACGCTGTTACTCCCAAACACTTCTTCAAGAAGTACTCTGTAAGTTTCATTCGTATATTCAAAGTAAATGTTTCTGTCCTCATCGTTTCCGCCTAGGACTACTATGGACAAGGACATCGATCGGATCTATTGAGGGGAATGATTGAAGGAATCCCAGAGCCTAATATGTGCCCAGAAGGTGGAAAGTATAATGTTCTTCGGGTGCTTGCAGGATTTCCGGGACAGTTTGAAGATATTCACAGGAATGACGACGACGAAGATGACCATCCCCTTGCGACGTTGAGGATGGATCGGCTTAAGCGTCCGTCACAATCGACGAACCCTGAGCAGTTCATCGAGACAATGGAGGAATGGCTGAAGAAAGAGAATTGGTCCCCGCCCAATATCTATTAAGATACTTTCTATCGGCGAGAAATTCATTACTATATTGCTATACGTAAATGTAAATTTGGTTCAGTAGAAATTATACCAGGATTCGGAGTGTTTAAATGCAGTCCTCGTCCGCTTCGATGCCACGCGGGTAATAATAGATCAGTACGGCTCTCGTAGTGCAATAGAAAGCTATGCAAGATGGAACTACCAGCGCAGTAGCAACTTCTTCATCAGTACGGTTTACACCCTCGCTCGTTATGTCTGCACCAGCCGCTCTTCCGCTATGTACCTACCACATTGAAATATTGAATAATCATTTCATAGCGACCAATCACCAAGACGATATAGATAGGTAATATTCCACCTATAACCGCATAACGACGATAACGTATATACAACTCCACAAATACAGTGCAACGAAAGAGAAATTGCCTAGGCTTCAATGTCCTCAGCAAGCTGAGGACTGCGCGGCTTTCCACCAACAAACATCCCAGCTTCTTGTTCACGAGTCGGCCTAACGACAAGGGACCACAACTCAGCATCATAGTGCGTCAAACCAAGATGCTGCCGCACATCTTCGACCTCCCTACACGAAGTCCCGCAACGATGTTTCCTCGCGCTCACAAGATCAATAATAACAGGGTCCTCATCCACAGTCCAGACGATATTATCATCGAGCAACTCGCCGTGTCTGTACCCCAACTGGTGAAGCAGCTTGACAGCATGGATAATCTTGCCTCTATAGACAGCAGGGTTAACGATGGAACAATCCCAGTAGAATGAAGTACGTTACCTATGAGGACGACTAATCTGCTTGAGATCGGAGAGTGATATGAACGATGGAGGAGGGTTGATATACTCGAGAAGGATCCACGGTAGGTCAAGATCGTACCCAAAGCCATAGCACGCTGGGATAATACTACCCTGCAACGCCTTCAAATCCATATAGGCACTGAACTCGGCGTGCGCAAAAGCATCAAACCGAAAGACTTTCAAAACAAGCTTCCTTTCAAGCCCGCGGACATTGGCCAGGTAGGTATACCCATCGATACTACTTCGGATCTCAGACTGGACGACGATATCGCGTCCAACCAGGGTCGGAACGAGGCACGAAAACTTGCAGTTCTTGGAAGCATAATCTCCCCATACTAGGCTGGCTTGTATCGGTTCACTCGCGCAGCCATGAAGTTGATTGGAGGTCTCCAATGCACGAGTCAAGTCTGGACCATGAGGAGGCGAAGCCAGAGTGTCGATCGATGAACCATCAGATTCTGACAGTTCTATATCTTGTCCGTGCACGTCATATACACTCGATGGCTTCGCAGGTGGTGGCGTCCGACGTTGAGTCCGAAAGGCTTCTAGCGAGGGAAACTGCTCAGCATACGAGGGATTGACAGCCAGAGCAGCAACGATAGTCAACGCCAAATAAACATCGTGGATATGGGGGTATGGCCGGTAGCCACCATCTGGCTCTGGAAATACAGTGCGGGCACGCTGGAGACCAGCATCACTAACACTGTAGAACTGCTGCTCAAGGGAGTTTCCACGAAAGTTTCCCTTCACGTCGCTGATAAAGATATGATCTGGCGATGACTCGTTGCGCTGCCGCCATAGCACAAGAAATGCGTTGCAAGAGTAGTACAGCAAAATATTGGCTCCAGTAGGGTTCACTTCGGTTAAGTACAGCGCACCCTGTATCAACCAGAGATTAGAATTGACTCAGTCCGGAATGGGACGGGAAACTGACCTTGTTTAAGAGGAGCCACCAATTATCCTGGTTGTTAGTAAAGGTACCAGGATAGTCCAGCTGGACTGACCCAACACCGTTGAGCCGCTCGACTAATTCGGTTGCTGCCAGGTAAAAGCGTAACGGGTTCACTCCTTCATTGATCACAGTACTAAGCTCACGACGTGCTGAAGAGCGATTCGGGTAGGAGAGCGTAGCGCTGGGAACAATCTGGAGTCCAGGAAGGCTACCGCAAGGCACCCTGTTCCTGTACTGAAGGCGACATTCAGGGATAAAGTCCAGGACGATACTTGATGCGTGTACCAGCATCACTTTTGATAAACTGTCCACTGTTGGTTCTGAAACCGTCGTTTCGGGAGGGGAAACCGGGGGTTTGTTATAGGGATGAGTCTCACGACCACCTTTGGAGTCATCGTCGTCATCGGATTCGTCCAGCTCCATATCATTATTGTACAAAGAGAGTAAGGAATTATACTGGTCTTTGACGGCATCATGATATTCTGCATACCGATCTGCGAAGGCGGTCGAACGAGATAGGTCCTTGTCCAACGCCAACAAGAGGTCAGAGAGTAAATCCGAATCGACAGAAGCCGTGAATGACCGTTCGCTTTTTTGAACGTCAGAGAGCCCTGTAAGCGCCGCTATTTGGCTCTCGGATAGAGGCGTCATGCCACGAGAAATATGAGAAGTGTCAGTTATAGCCAAATCCGGGTGTGATGGAGGAAGGAGTTCCAACTCCCGTAGGGTCTGGTAGCTGAAAGCCATTCGATGAGAGCGCTAGCTTGAATAGTTGATAGAGAAAGGAGAGTGCTCGTGGTGCTGGGACAAGAATTGAAAGGTTCCTATTTGAGGCCAAACCGCTTATATCATCGGTCTCACTTGTAGTGACTCAAGTCACGGAAAGAATCCATATGTTCAAGTACAGCAGGTTCGAGAGTATTAACTTGACAAATTATTATACTCGTCCTTAGACAACCAATATTTCCTCAAGAAATCGGATGCCAGCGGTAGTATGGTGCGTGTTTCCTGGGGTAGTCTTGTAACGTCCGCTTCAGGCTTCTTATCCCATGCGGTGTCGTTCGCCGTAGGGTCACCGTGGATATTGAGGTATCTTGAATTTCGCGCTGCCCAGTTAGCGCCTTTATTCAGTACATACCCAGTAAAACCCAACTCACGTATATCGTAGCACGTTTATCCAATGTTTTGAGTTCGTCATCACATTCCCGACATCTTCCCCGACGACAGAGAAAACAAGCATTGTCGCTTCAAGATTCTTCTGTGTTTATGCTAGCGAGTCACGGTAGTCATGAAGGCTCGTAATGTTGCGGTTATGTACGTCTCCCGGAGTGGAGACCCTTTATGGTACTTGGAGTATATTGAAACTATGTGTTTAGAAAGAAAGCTGAGGAGAGGAAAACAAAAACCCAGAACGATAGTACTTACCCTGCGCCGTTACCTTGATGTGAAATCAAGGACCATCGAAGAGCCCTAACCTGGATTCTGTTGTTGACCCACAGCCTGGCAATAGAGAGGCTTCATTGGAGAGAACTTGGAAGACTGAAACTTGAACGTCAGTACCACAAATGCCGATTCTGTAGGATTGCGGTAGAGTCACTGGAACATGCCATGCTTGAGTGCAATTCGTCGCAAGTGGATGAGATGCTGGCAAGAGTTGCTCACGACGAACCTAGTCTCGGGCTCACGTATGGCCACCTGGGTGATGTTGAGCTCCCAAGGGAGCTAGTCGAAAGTCGAAAGGCTATTGCCACGGTCGTAAAGTGGGTGCATGCCGTTCTAAAAATCTTTTATGCCGTTCCGGTCTATCGTGGTGGTTAGGTATAGGGGAGTACTGATTTTGGTTTCCCCGTCTATAGGTCTTTAAGTTTTACAACGGCCTGGGTGGTTTGACTTGGGCTGGCCGGTCGTGAGCGTTGGCTAGATGGTAGTGAGGACTAGGTTTCGTAGTGCAGTTATCTGTATCCTTGCGTCCGGCGTGCTTGAATGTACCGTACCGTGTAATGATCAGACAGATGAGATACGGCGCTGAGTTGGTGTTGGTATTGGTGTTGGTACCGGCACAAGGTCCCTAAGAGAGAAAGGTAGTCACTTCCGTTTCGGGCTGTCGGCAATCAAAGCTGCTTCCTTCACTTGTGGACATCTTCATATCTCCTTGCCCTGCTTATAGACACTTCTCGATGTGAGGACGCCACGCAGCTGGATTTGGATTCCCAGGATAGGAGGGAGAGCTGCGTTAGGATGCGGATGTGTTTCTGCAGGCATACCGACTGGGTGCGGGAGGGTTGGAAACGAGGGGGTTTGGAGTCGGGGAGGGTAGGCCTGGGATCGTGCATGCGTGTTTGAATGCCTGAAGATGGGACGATCCGTGGAAGGATCGGCGAGGAGTGAGTTTGGCCTAATACCAAACTTTGAACGTGTCTGATTTCTGCTGCTAGTTTGACTCTCTCATTCAAACTGCTACGGGCTTCATCGATCAATCGATCATCGATGAGCATCCAGATATCCACTCCAGAAAGAGTTTTGGATGCCCAGTCACTGCAGCTCGAAAGTCTCAGATACCTATGCTGAACAGGGGCTCGCCTGGGTATCTCTCTTCCCTCTATCCCCATGGCACCCTACAAAACTCTAACGCCAATAGAGTTGCTCCCACCATTATACCCCGATCCACCTTCTGGCAGAAACCGAATGCAGCCCATCTTACCGTCCCAGAAGGATATCCAATTCACAGCCTCTGCTGATCCAACTTTACTCTCTGATCTCCTCTTAGCACTCGACGAGGACCTTTCCCGCTCTGCTGTCCTCTCACAGAAATACACCGAATACTGCAATGGCATCAAACATGACTACAGTCGCACTCTGCAGAATTACACTTCGACGCCGATTATTCGTTCTGTGAAACGATCGTACGCTGTTTTAGCATGCCATTCATAACAGACATGGGAAGCCATGCAAGATCTGATCCCCGGGTGCCATTCATACTATCAAACTACAACACGGCCGATCCGTGGACCGGAGATTATCGATTATCCCTGACAGTGTCCTCTTCTTCGCCCGTCGGCATAGTGTTCTTCTTGGGAAAAGTGAGGGCCCACTGCTGTTGTTTCCTGCAGCAACCGAGTTGGTTCAGCGACTGGATTCTGTCGGGTCCGTCAAGTTGGGCTGCCCCTATGACGTGGAGAACGACGATAATTGGTGGATTCTTCTAAGCAAGGTGAGTGTTCTGGGTTTGCGGTTGGGTAATCGGTTAACCTTGATTGGTAGGGTGCTTTATACCTAGCGGAAATGGATGCTGATATTATTCTGTACTACTCGTGTAATGCACTCGTCATTATGCGCCGACAGCGGAATGTGTCTGGGCCAGATCATCTCTTTGTCGACGTCAAGGCTAATTTCCGACGCGGATCTCTCAAGGAGCAATTCTTCAGCACCAGTCGCGCAGGTCTTCAACGTGCTGGCACACTCTTTCCGGAACCAGATGGTGGATACCAGCCGTTCGTGCATCTGCATGACGTGTACTTGGCTTCTGCTATCGTCACCGCGCTGGCTACTACGGAATCGGCAGAGTTCCCATCACTAGAGTCGTTTCGCAATCGACGACGCGTGCAACCGCTAGTGAAAGCATCTGCTGTGTATGACATGCATGGGCGAGAGTGGGGTCGGGATATGCCTCTGTCTGCAGCGTCTCGCAGCAAGGCTCTCTTGCACGCGACGGCCATTTTTAATAAACTGCACGGATGCGCCGTCGAGGCGAACATCTATCTGGGGGGTCGCCCTATGCGCGGCAAGTTCCTATCTCTGACCCCGGCTCTCCAGGGACAGGATATCATCGTCGACTCTGTCCTTCAAGGTAGGGACCCGAACTGGGACTTGGACATGTATCGGGTTCGTGTTCGTGGACAGTGCAAGAGGAAGTTTATTCTCAAGATCTTCCCGTTCGGTACGTTTGGCGAGGTCGAGTTTCGTGCATACGTGGCTTTGAGGGAGTTGCAGGGGAGTGTTGTACCGGTGTGTTGTGGGTTTGGGTATGTGGCGGTGGAGGGGGAGGATGATAACGAACGTCCTTGGATTTTGGTGGAGTACGTTGAAGGTCGGAAGGTACCCTCCGAGTCCTTGAGCCATGCTCACCGGTATAACCTCCGAGTCCAATTTCGACAATATCATGTTCTGACTGACTGACTTGTAGAGGGAAAATCATGCATGCGGTCAAGGCGTTGCATCAGCTGGGTTATACGCATGGGGATTTCTTGAACAATATCTTTTGGACCGTCGATGAGGACCCGGTTGTTGTTGGTTTGGGAGGTGTGAGGACACATCTGCGTCGGGGGGATACGTGTCCGGAGATTGAGGATGTGCGAGTGCGTCTTGGTTTGACAAGGAGGGACGCAGAATTGTGGTCTCTTGTTGTGAGGCTGAAGAGACCGGAGTGCTTATAGGATGCACAATATTTATTGTCTAAGAGCGCGTATGATAATTTTTTTTCTCGTCGCGTACTTGTGGTAATAAATCTATCGTAAACAATCACTTAGCTTCTAGGAGCTGCGTCTCTGGATCTATGTCCCAAACCAAGCCGAAGACGGAGACAGTTCAAATTCAACAAACATTTGCGTCCTCTCCCGTCGTTGTCGTCACAAACAAGATGTCGGGAAGGAAATATTTTGAACACGGTCTATCCGGCCCGATCCTTCCTCTCTTCCTTCACGCTCATGATGGAATCTGCCTCGAAGCTCTGGCTCTCAACTGGGCTCCCAGCAGCCAATCTACACTGCTTACATATCGATGAACCAACCAAGCCGACTTCATCTCCATTCAAACTGGGAGACGCGTCTTTTCAACTGAACACTCGTATTTGCTGCGGGTTTCGATCTTATGGAAGGAAGGAATCTGACAGCAGGGTGCTCAGGCGAAAAAAGGATCCGATCGAGCATACAATTTCTTAGTCTCCCCTAGGCAGACTCTCAAATCAAGTCTGAAAATCGGAAATTTGGGGATACATTCAGAAGGGTGGACGAATCCCGTGAGTGTCCAGTATTTCTTCATAGGCGCTCTAGTGTTGAACAAGGATCTAGTACGCCATACCGCCACGGGTACTCTCCTCTTCCTAACCACTGCGATAGACCGGGCGTAGAAATTTTTGTGAATGGCATGCGTCCATTTTGCGACCGAGGCAATATCCTTTCGACTTTCGACCAGCTTTCTGAGGAACTCAACGTCAATAAGATGGCCATACACGAGGCCGAGATCAGGTTCATCACGAATGGCTCTCGCCAGCATCTCATCGCATCCCTAGTACGTATCCACCGCAATTCTGCGATTCTCTCCCACCGAAGTCTCTCTATTGCGAGCATGTGGCTGGACAACAAAATCCAGGTCGGTGCTTTTCGATGGTCTTGATCTTCACATCAAAGTAATGGCGTGGGGTAAGCACCACTGTGCTGGGGCCTTTGTTTTTCACCTTGCTTTCAATCATAAAGCAGCTATATGTGGCTTATCGCAACCATCCACTTGTTGCTGCAACCAGGCCTCCATGTATTTGAGGACCATTTTTGAGTACGTGTCCATGCTCTCAACATTGATCTGACCCTTCTCACAAGTACTAGCACGACTAGCCACAGAACACTCTGTAATACTCAATGTACACTTGTGAAACTCCGGTCACCGATTGCGCTTGACTGCGAGCTTCGCCAGGCAAAGTCTACTACTTATGTAAATAGTAACCGGTCAGTCTGCTCTACCGTTTGACTCGGAAGTGAGATCATATGGCAGGAGGTGGAGGGTGGGTCCATCTTATCCTTAAACACAAAATGTACGTCCTGTATTCTTGGATCCCCACCCCTTTACCTCAGTATGCTGAGGACTCACTGTGAGTAGATTGAACCGTCGCTTGCCCGCGTAACGGCATCCCGGTTACTATCAAATAGCTCAAAATACCGACAAAGGTATACCCTGCTCGGAGGAAGATCTGGCTCATATTGAACCATCATTGCCACGTAGTAAGCCTACGCGGAGCTTCATCAGAATGTTTACATACACACAACTGATCAGCTCCTTCCTGCTCGGTGTCTTGTGGGGCTGTGGCATCATCCATAGGCTTCGAATCCTCTCAGCGCGGACTATGCAATGCAGGGAAACCCTAGCCGGAATCTATATCATGATCCTAGCTCTGCTGCCTTGTTTGGTTGCATACCTTGATCACTGTATGCATTCTGGGTCAGAATTGGAAAATGTTCAACGGAGTAAGTAGTTCGTCAATATGATTAGCGATCCAAACCATGTCTCACTCTCGCAACTAAGTTATGTAGCCCATCAGATTCACTGGCAACTTGGGCATCTGTGATGCATATTAATGTCCACTGCCCACTTTTGGCCAGTTAATGGTGCCGGTATAAAACGTCTGCGTATGCAGAGTTTTGGACTGGCATAACCAGCATGTCCCTGGCGATCTACGTTGCTCCCATGGCTCTGATCATCATCTTGTCTGTCTGGTGGAAGCCTGTAAGGCGTTGAGACTGATTGTAGCTCAGTTTAGCTACTAAAACTGACGTTAGCGCATCCTGCCCAACGGACACCCACCTGTCATCGATATCCCGGTAGGTTGTTTCTTTTATGGGAGCGTCGGGAGTACTCAGTGTTACTCAGGCTGAAGACATGTTTCGAAACCCTCGAAAAGCATACGAATCGGCTTTGAAAGAGCACGGGCCCGTAATAGGTGTATACAGGAAAGGAAGGGTATTCATACTTCTAACGGATTTGCGGTTCTTTTCGCTGATAGTTCTGCAGCTCGAGTTCATAGTCAACGATCAATTTACTACCGAAGTTCTCACCAATGATTCCGTCTTTAGCTTTGAGAGTGGTACTCTTACGGTATGTGACATTCGTTTAAGGCTTATAGCCGCCCGCTTAAACGAGCATTCTAGGTACTAAATCTGCATCCGCTACTACTGCTTCCTCGGAGTTTCATCCGCGACATCGACAAACTAGTCAATGAGGGCCTTGTTCCCCTCATGAATCAGATAATTCAGAAAAGTCTGTTTTCGTATCCTGCCTATCTGAAATATTCAGTGACGAAGGATAGTCACTCCAATATTCGAACAAAATATGCGTGAGTTGACCGACAAGGCGCAAAATGCTACATCCAGGAATCCGGTTCCGGTCGATTTGGCCAGGTTAGTCCACAAGACTATGGCGGAATCGATGCTTACGATCATCTTTGGAGAGGTAGGTGTTCTACTCGGACATTGCACTGCGTGCTAACTTATGTTCTCTCCCAGACGTACACCACCCTGGCGGATATCCAAGCGGCGGAAACAATCGCTTCCGACATTGCTGTCCTTTCAGGAATCTATCAGAACATAGGATACTGGTCTCGGACATTTCCAACTACGTGGAGAGTCATCACATGGTAGGGGTTTTGGTCAGTTCTTCAAGGCGGTTGATATGAGCTATCTCCGTCAGGGTACGCGTAATGGGATTCTCAATTCCTTGGAACTTTGTTCGCATAATCGGATTCCGCGTCTGGAAAGACCTAAGACTCAGCTCAAAAACTGGCGCTACAGGTCACCTCCACAAGGTACGAAAATTATTGCTCCATTGAGTTGATTGAATAAACCAGCCTCAGGAATCTCTGCTCCACTACCTTGCCCAGCGCTACTCTTACAAAGATGCGCATGTCGTTCGGCTAACACTGCTCGACAGCCTATGGATATTAGGCCTCACCCTTGGGTATGCTTATCAGCACCCAATCTCAGCTGAAAATGATGCTGATGTCGTAGATAGTTTACTCTTTGCCTCGATCCACCAAACGTACGCTGAAAAGTCTACCTCTTGTGATGCGTCGGTTTCTCACTATCTACTCAGTGCCGCGGTCATCGTCTGGGTTGTGTTCGAGCTGGCCGTGCGTCCTGAAGTCATACCGACCTTGCGTGCAGAGCTCCAAGATATACTTGAAGTGGACGAGCATACTGGAAAGCTTGCGCTAACAAACGCTTCCTTGAAGAAAGCTGAGCGGCTCGACTCGTTCATTCGGGAGGTCATGCGCACGAAGGGTGATACTTTGTCAACGATTCGGCTCACTATGCGAGATGTCACACTCGGTGGATACACTATTCCAAAAGGTAGGTTCGAGGAATTGATACAGGTCCTTATTTATAGGCTTATCTTTGTCCAAGGACAGTTGGTGTGTCCCCTTGCGACATTGTCCCACAGGAATCCCGCATACCATGGCGAGGATGCTGAAGAGTTTGTCAGCGATCGGTGGGTGGGCCATGGCAAGCCGGCAGTCATGGTAAGTCCCACCTACTGGCCGTTTGGTCTAGGGAGATTCGCATGCCCAGGACGAGCGCTAGCCGTCGCAGGTATGGTCCCATTCCTGCATCACTTCGTACAGATGCGTTGAATAATCGGTTACAGAGATCAAGTTGGCGGTATTCTTTTTAATATCTCGGACTTTCCCAGCCCTAGAGGGAGACAAGTACGAAGTCGTAGACCCTTTGAATATCACGTCGGTACCACCCGTGGGACGATTGTTGATTCGACCAGCTCCTCCGGTGTTTTGAGCATGAAAGTCCGGGCCCCACATATTTGATAGCACGGAGCGGTGTGTTTGTGTTCCATTTTGATCTAGTCTGCTGACTGTGTACTTTTTTTAGAGCATTGATTCTTTTCGTACTTTGTATACATTGCGAATAGATACCGATTGTTAGGAAGGGCGAATATATTCACTTCGGATAAAGCGAGCTTTAGAACTTTGTGCAACGTTATACCCAGGATTTCACATCGGAAAGCGAAGATAAGAATCAATCGAACTGATTGATTTTAAGTTTAGCTACATATTTAACTTGAAGCGCGGGTATCTATTTTTGCACATAGAAAGTGTCGCAGGGCTCGGTGCCTGCACCTATAAAAGAACACCGTTATATATCATAGAATCACAGAACTATGAATGGGATAATTCAATGTAGAGTCAGGCGATGAAGGTGCTTAATTTTGGCAAAAGACGCTATACCATGAGATGTTTTGTCACAGAAGTACCATCTTGCCTTTGGGACGGGTAATCACCGGTGTCCATTTCAACGAGATGACTAACATTTACTGCGACAGGAGTTCGGCGGCTCAAAGAGAAACTCTGTGGGCCGCTGCTCTGTGGCCCGGTTACCGACAAAGCCGTCAGTTCTCGAGAGCTGATGCCGAGACTGACACGAAGAATAATTATTGTGAACGTGATTCCGATTAAGGGTGCGGTCTGCTGGTGTTTAGAGGCATGGCATCACGAATAGGGAGACATGGAGACCTACCAGATCTAGGACCGTGTACTGAGCATTCGAACCGAGCGTGTAGGTGATCATTAACGAAAGTACAGAGGCTGAATACACAGCGGCTGACTCGATGACCATCATGAGAGCAGAACGAGCGGGTTTCACTTGAATGACATTGCGAACGGCTCGTTGAATGCTAAGAATTCGATAGGCTATAAGAGCTACGAGATGTTAGCCTCGTCGGATATCAACTGGGAGTTATTCAATGGCAACTCACAAGTGCAGATAATATTCGTGCATAAAGTCATTGAGATGAAACTAGTGATCCAAGGAACAATATTCGGTAAGAACACTTCCGCCCCAGGTGCAGCATGGGAAAAGGCAACAGTAGCACCAAACCCGCCCACTAGAACAGAAGATGGTACTCAGACAGAATAAAGTCAAACTAGTATATCAAAACTCACCGCCTGTCCCGCACAGCAGTAAAATAGGGCCAGGTATGATGCACCACTTGCCATTCCATACAATGAAGCAGCGATAAATCTAGCGCAGCCTTTCATTCGAGTGCAAGAGTGACCAGAAATCAAGGCACCTACCACAAATCCGTCTCCGACGAGGGTCAAGGTGACATATATCGCTGTTTTGGCAGCCTGCAAAGGATTTGATAAATCCAAATAGTATTGCTGCGCCCCTCCACGCTCCAACTCAACAAATGCCTCGATGGCACGAACTATATCTAGAATCAAATGCTGTAGAGGTAGTTCAAGAGAGGAAAAGCAGACAAAAATTGACGAGAGTAACCAACCACAGTTGCTAGAATCCAAATGATGACCACCGTCGAGAGAAGTTTGACGTTTATTCCCGATCGCTTCCGGACGATGACATATATGGCAGCGATAAATAGAACCGTGAAGGACCCTAGACTCTATGCAGTTAGAACAGTGAACTAGTGGCCTAATGAGAGCAATGAGGATACCGTATAACAAGGTCTCGCATACTAGGGCAAGGAACTGTAAGAAAGTATAAGCAGCATAAAACTTTCATAAAATCAATTCTGACGTTAGCTTTATCCAGTGGTATGGAAGCCATGGAAGAGCACCACAATGCAGCACGAAGAAAACAGAGTCAGTTTGAAAGTCTTGTTGAACGAGATTCTAGTAGAGAGGCCTATGCTTCAAACTACGGAGAGAATAGAGGAGTCGCAGGATCGACGGTGTATCACTATCAGTTGCACAAGGCTTAAATATTAAAATATGGCTACCTTGCCATCCATCACTAGCACTCATCATCCAATTCATGCGCACCATGTTTGGGTACAGCTTTCTGGGTGCTAGTAAGTCGGCTCTAGACTAGAATGCGGTTCAGAAGCCGCTCGCCCGTTGCCACTGCAGCGGTTCCAGTTGGCTGATCGGAGTTCGATCTGAACTGGCTCACTCCGGGCTCGTATTTTACCCGAGTCCCGACACCGTTATCTTCATTCAACATCAACACAAACGACAGTTGATGGTAAACTTGCTCTTTTAGACGTACAAGCTGATGCATCAAGTGGAGAACACATGAAATTTATAATGTGGGCTGCAAATATCTGGATATATCAGTGTACTCGACGCTTGTGGTGCTCCGCCACTACCTCTTTACGACTTTTATCTACGAAGGTCATTCTATGCGTAATCTCATCCACTTTTTCTATAAGTTACCTATCCAGGCTAATAACACGATTTATCAGGATGCATGATAAGGATTCATGGCCTGAGCTGTCTCAAGCGGGACAGACCATTGTAAAGCTGAGAGATGGAAATACTGGAGATATACCTTTGATAATCATCCACGGTTAGCGCTGGTTCTCGTTGCTGACCTATCAAAGAGCTTGATTCTGACATTCCTTAGGAGGGGGCGGAGCGATTCATGCTTTTGGCCCATTACAACACAAATTCCGTTCTGCTCTTTGGGCCCTTCAAGTTACCCCAGACACACCCCTTACAACGGTGGACGAACAGGCAAAATTTTATTATTATAAAATCAAGGTAATGTATCTCGCAATCTATGTCTCTTCACTCCACTAATTTTTCTCAAGAGTGAGCGAAGAACGGGACCTTACCGCCTTGCCGCATTCTCAGCCTCCAGCATCATCGGATTTGCGCTTACGCGCATTTTGGAACGCAATGGAGATAAAGTGATCCAACTCGCACTCATTGACCACTTTCCGACCACATTTCTTGCTCCTGCGCTTGGAGTCGATGTCACCAAAATGCCACTCCAACATCCCCGTGCCCGGAAAGAGTTCATTGACACCAGTTTCGACAACTTGGTCACCATAATCCGTAGAGACGGGGGTGGAAATGTTCTTCGACGACATCGCCTCGCAGATGGGCTTTCTGACGCTCGCAAAGGGCTGCCAACAGCGCCCTTCATCCAGTCGCACAAGGACATTTTAGACCGATTTCTTAATCAGGTGTTTGACTTCATCTTAGTCGTTTGTAGGAACTCAGAAATGCCGGCGTCTGAGATAGCACAACGCGGGTCGGGACAGAAGACTATCAATGCACTAGAAGAATGGCTCCAATCTGTCAATGCGCCCGTGTCCATTTATCTCGGGTCCTATGGGATGATAGGATCTGTTCCCGTGGAGCATCGCAAAGATTGGTATGATTTAGGGATTCACCGTTGCTTCCCTAGTGCCAAAGTCATACATCTCCGGGCAGGACATTATGACATTTTGGATAATGATGTCCTGATTAAATCATTACAAGACGGGTTTATCCCCTCGTCTCGACTGTAGATTGTATATATCATCTTCAAAATTATGCTTCCAATGAAAACAGAATTACGCGGCAAGAAGGGTTCGCTGATTCCGACAATTAGATTGTGTCCGGTGCTATAAATATGGACCAATAAGGACCCACGTTTTGCAGACAATGACTGGAGATTTTTCAAGGGGGTAGTGCTGGTGCTGGTGAGAAACAGAATACAGGGGCATCGGGAACAGCAATCGACAACACAAGTATTTTTACTGAAAAAGGACACAAAAATCGAGGTATAGCACGAGCAATGGGTCGATGACTTGTGATGGAGTAGAGGACGACGTAAAAAGGGTACAGACGTTCCGAAAAACCTTGTCCACGGTTGCCAAACAAGGCAAGTAAAATAAAAAAATAAAAAAAATGCAAGAAAATTGTGAAAATAGCATGGTGCCTTCATTCGTGAGTGTAATGTATCATAAATAGACTTGTTGAGGATGTACGAGGTGTATAGAGGTAATGTAACAGGTATGAGGCCAATAGGTCAATGGTAGGACGTCATGAGCGGGGTCTGTGCTAGCGGTAATGGGAGGCAGCGGCGGAGCATTAGAGTGGTGTGGGAGGCTGTGGAGATGTTTTCTCCCTTGTAAACAGTAATAAGTCGTTCCAAAATGAAAGTGGGTAACTTCCCTTGAAGATGTATGTTTAGCATACCAGCCACTGCGCCCTCTCCAAAGCTTCCCAGTCTACAACGCCTGAACCCCCACCAGCCCAGTCCTAACCGTGAAAACTGATGAAATAAAGCCAGGATATCCAGTTGCAGATGTCTTTGTCGCAGTGAAATGGTGCGGGCGGACTATGGCGTTGTGTTGCAGGAGACCGGGAGCTGTCGACGTCCAAACTGTGGCAAAATCACGGCGGCGGCTTGCTTGACTGAATGCAGAATCGTTCTTCAAAGCTGTCTTGTCTTTTCTTGTCTCTTGAATGACGATGATGGCAAGAACGAAGGTGTGACCGGCTGTTCGGTGCGAGACAGCCTGAACATGTAAATCTGGCGGCGCTCACTAGTTCTTCATCGGTCAGATGTTCTTATTTCAAGTATTATCTTTACGACACACTGCAGCACCCATGGATCATTAAATTTGTATCTTTCTACTAAATGACACGCACAAATGAAGTCTGTATGCTATTTCTACGATTTTCTTGTATTTATCTGATTTTTTGATTTTACCTGCCCTTTTTGGCAGTGTGGACAAGGTTTTTCGGAACGTCTGTATTGAGGGTACGTAGAGTCAATTGTTTGGTGTACCGCATGGGCTGGCATCCGTAGTACAGGTTCAATCACTATCATGATCTGGCCTACAACCAACTTACGTGTAGGCTTGTAGCCACGGAGCAACACTGGAGAACTCAATCACACAAAGTGCGAGGAACGAGCTCTGTAACGACGTCGAGACGATACAGGTGATGGTAAGCTAAAGAGAAAGAATCGTACGACACTGCCTATCTGAGTATCCCGAAGTAGCCGGTGAGTAACCGGAGTCCCTGGTTACATTACGCTAGTATTCAACGAAACCAGGTGAAAATAAAATAGAAGGCCAGCGTAGTTCAAGGCCTTTCCATATGGTAAATCTGAATTCAGGGCGGCAATTGGGAGGGTCAGAGTTGCGATTACAGTGGGTTTATGCAATCAGTGATTGTAGGGAGAAAACCCGATTTCGTGGCGGACCGAAGTAGCTCGGTTCCCTTTTTGGGCAGGGCGATTCGATTACGGGTGAGGCCTACTGGTCGACCCGTACATAATCCCGGAACCGAGTCAACCGACTCTGAAGTTGGCTTTTTCTCGTTCGCGCAAGTTCTTTGGAACCTTTTGGAACCGGGATCAATTTCTCAGTGAGAACTTGATCCCGGAATCAGTTTGCCATGGCGGCTGAGATGGCCGCCGTTGGTAGACCTAAAAGACTCGGCGTCTACATCCACTCTCCTTGAGTTACTGACAATGCCAGATTTCCACTCCAAGGTTGGCAGACTACCGCATGTACCGGACGACCTCACCATCCCACAATTTATCCTTGATCATGACCATCCCATAAGGTCGAAGCGTCCCAAAGGTGTACCCTGGCTCGTTACCGACAAGTCAGGCAGGAAGATACATCTCGATGAGGTGCGCCGATTCGTAGCATTGAAGAATTATTCGAGAACTCTGAATAGATCCAACGCCGAGCTAATGGCCTTGCGGTGGGTCTCAAGGAGAGGTTTTCCATAGGTTAGCTTGACCATAGTGCGCCATTTCCATGCTCACAGTGCCTTTCAGGTTTGAATGATCCAGGTGCATTTCTTTCTTGAACCCAACTCGACCACAACCAATACTTTGCAGTTCTTTTTTTCTCTACCAATCACGTCGGTGCGTAATTGGCCGTCGTATTTTGCTTTGCTGCTGATGCACACAACAGATTATCCTGTATGTATGTGGGCTGTACACCGTATCTTGGGGATCGTCACGTTTGTCTCACGCTGATTGTCTTTTTCCGTCACTAATTTCTTTCAGACCTTGCAACCCCTCATTTACGGTCCCAGAGCTCGTACAGCATCTCCGGTTGTCAAAATCCAGTCTTATCATCACCCACGTCGACTTTCTAAACACAGTTTGTCGGGCTGCTCGTGAAGTCGGACTTTCTACGAAACGGATCGTCGTTCTTCTCGATCAAGACTCCCAGACCGCGAATCAAACAGGATTTGTGTCTGTGGATGATCTCGTTGTGCAGGGTATAAAGAGTGAAAATACCTTAGAAAATGTTCAACTAGCACCAGGCCAAGGAAAGGAGATGATAGCCTTCTATAGCTCGTCGAGCGGTACCACCGGAGCGCCCAAGGTATGTTGACCAGGCTGACTTGATGTCTGATTCTTACGGATACTTTAGATTGTCCAAATATCACATTACGCCTTTATAGCTAATGTACTCCAAATTGCTTCCCTCAACAAGTGAACGAGGAGTATGACAAATGGGAGAAGCGCAGGTACAGACCGGGTGATGTGTGTTTGGGTGTTCTTCCCTTCTATCGTGCGTATATCACGAAAGGAAGGATATTTTTTTAACCCTTTGATTTCTAGATATCTATGGCTTGGTTCTGATTGTAAGTAATGATGATTGAGTGCGACATTGAATTCCGCCGTTGACTATTGGTGGTTGACAGCTTCATTTCAACATTTTTTCTGCGGTGAATCATCCAATTGGCTATAAAATATTCAAATTTGTTTCTAATGCTCATCGTTCAGATGTCTGTGGTCGTGGTCCCAAAGTTTAACTTCAAAGAGATGCTTCAAAGCATCGTTAAATATCGGATTTCCTCTCTGATGGTTGTTCCTCCGCAAGTGGTTTTGTTATGCAAGGTACGCCTGACATGCTACCAAGAGATATCCAATGACATGGGATTGATGCAGGATTCTATCGTCAAAAACTTTGATCTTTCAAGTGTTAGAGTCGTCTTGTGTGCTGCTGCTCCGCTTACTGGTAAGGCGTTTCGTTCTAGCAGCAGGCTTAAAATTTCAAATTCACACAGCGGAGCTCTATGACCAACTCGGTCAACTTCTGCCAAACATATACATCGGCCAAGCTTACGGTATTTCGAAGTCTGCTTACAGATGGTGTGCGTTACATGAACTGTGTCTGTACAGGGTCTACTGAAGCTACTGGTGTTGTATCCATGTGCCCTGTTCAGCAAAGATGCGGCATGTTTGGGGGAGTACTCGCGCCAGGTATTGTCGGGCGAGTGGTCAAAGCCGATGGGACTTTGGGGGATTACGATGAGGAAGGTGAATTGTATATCAGGACCCCTGCCGCTGCGGCAAGTTATCTTAACAATGATGCTGCGTACGTTGCCTCGTACTTAAAGAATATCTTCTGACCTCCCGCTTCTGATAGAACCCGAGACACGTTTACTGGGGGGTATGTAACGACATAATTAAGCGTTTATTATAGATTCTAATTGAGTGTATTCTTTGCAGATGGATCCGTTCGGGGGATCTAGTGAAAGTTGACAAGAACCATGAAGTTATTTTTATTGATCGTTTGAAGGTACTTTCTGATTTTCTTTTTCACGATTGAGTTTCTAAACGAGCCTTATAGGAGATAATTAAGGTTTGAAACCAGTTATTCCTCGTGGCCCTTTTTGAATTTATATGTAGGTTCGGGGATTCCAAGTCGCGCCTGCCGAGTTAGAGGGTTGTATTTTGGACCATCCCTTTGTAAGAGACGCGTGTGTCGTTGGAGTTCCTCATGCATACAGCGGAGAAGTTCCATTGGCATTTATCGTTCTTACCAAGGATGGGATGAATGCAGGCGAGAAGGATGGAGGTTTTGCAGGTGTTAAATCGTCAATCCGAAAGGTATCTTCCCTTGTGCATCCGAGGAATCTGACTGTGCTCATTGCATTTATAGCATGTCGCGGAGAATAAAGCTCCATTCAAGCACTTGCATCAGGTCGAAATCACAGATGTGATTCCGAAAACTCCTAGTGGGAAACTACTTAGGCGAGAGCTTCGCGACAAGGCCCGGGACGTCGTTCAGAATGCCAAGCTTTAGCCAAACAGACAATGTCGTATTTTACTGTGTATATAAGAGAAAATGATCCGCTCTCGCCCCATAGACAGATGGAGGATATACAGCATGTTGAATCTGGGAGGGATCCTATCCAAACATCGGAGCCAGCACTGGCTTGGTTGTGCTGGTTGTGAGTGCCAAGTCACACCGAGTCACAGTGATCTCCGAGACCACCGTCAGAGGACACGCAAGTATGTCAGTCACCTCGCCAACGCCGACCTCTATGTAATCACATTTCCAATACTGTATAGACGGGAGCCCATCAAAGATCCACAGGCGACGCATCATGACGATGCAACGCAAACTTCTTCTGTAATGTTCTGCGGCTTCTACGGTGATGCACATAAAGCACCCGTCTGATTTGAATGGAGTCAGCTTGGAATTCATTCGTCGAACCGATCTGACCTATTCTTGTGCCGGATACCACTACTTCTCCGCGTGCCATAACCTCCTCCTTACACTGGCATGGCCGACTCTGACTATTCGCTGAGGAATCAAGATAGCAGTGGTACACTGGCAGAGGGTAAAGACTCAGAAATTAAAGTCGTAGAGTCTTCGGACTCGCAGAGCAACCACTTTGACCATGGGGTCCGTGCATGGGGAACTGGTTCGTATACAAAGCTTATCGAATTACGAGCCCTACTCATGTTGTAACAGTCGTAGGATCATGGCTGGTGCAGTTTTGCATCATTGGTATCCCTCTATCGTTTGGCGTCACGGAAAGCTTCTATGCCAGAGAGTATCTCGCGGCGTATACCCCGTCTCAGATTAACTGGATAGGTCCTCGTTCCTTCAGATGTATCTATTTACCTCTCTGACGCCAATACCCGCTGTAGGATCACTACAGTTTTGTCTCATGTACCTCCTAGGCTTAGCGGTTGCAGGACTGTCTGTCGAAATTCATATACTCGCCATGAAAAATAGGAAAGGCTGATCTAAAATACAGATTCGATGCTGGGCATTTTCACCTCATATCCATCGCCGGGTCTGTTCTATTCCTTTTCAGGTCTGCCGCCTTGTTTAGCTTTCCTTGGAAAATTACCTGACCCTTCATGGCATGTAGCTTTTTCATGTTATCGCTGGCCAGAGAAGGGCAGTACTATCAAGTATTTCTATCGCAAGGACTCGGGATGGGGATTGCGACAGGCATTATGTACACGCCGACCTCTTCTGTGGTTGCTCACCACTTTAGAAAACGAAGGAGTATGGCCATGGTACGTGCTTCCGAAAGGAATCGTTTTCAATAAAAGCCATATTGCGTCCACAGGGAATTATCACGACCGGTAGCGCCATCGGAGGCTTCTTTTTCTCTTCAATATTGGGCCACTTTTTGGATGGATCCATTGGATTTGCATGGGGCATCCGAATTGCAGCGTTCGTGTGTCTGGGATGCCTATGCACCGCAAATCTGTTGATGCGAACAAACTATCCTCGGAGTCAAACCGCTCGGCCAGCCCTGTCGACGCCCTTGGCGACACTCCTCAGAACACCCGCCTACATATTCATGATCCTTTATGGTTTTGTGATTTCTCTCGCCCTGTATAACCCTATGTTTTCAGTGGAACTGTTTGCTCAGGAGCATAACAATATACCGAGTACCCTGACGAGCTACCTGGTGGCTATTATCAATCTCAGCAGTACACTAGGACGAACTATCCCAAATTGGCTGGCTGACCGCTATGGTGTATTTCCTGTGTACATTCCCTGCGTTGCCACTGCCGGTGAGTAAGGTTGGCACACATCCAGTACTCGTATTTAATCCGTCTGCAGGTGTCCTGGCGCTAGTTATGATGGTCTGCACAACGGCAGCATCGATTACCGTCTTTTGTATCCTGTATGTTTATATCTTTCCCCCCAACTCATAGGATACCTCTCATTTAAAATTTGTGAATTAGGTATGGTTTTTTTTCGGGCGCTTGTATGTATTGTCTTCCTTGAGCACCTAGTTGACGCACGGCTTACTGTCCTATCACGTCAGGCGTATCGCTCTTCTTCCCTGCCGTACTATCTCTCGATCCGGACCTGACCCGTTCTGGGTTCGTCACTTTCCCCACGTCGCATTGTTCGACACTGACAATGACATTGAAATAGCCTTCGACTTGGTCTCGCATCCGTCCCCGTCGGTATTGCTTCCCTTGTGGGCACACCGATTGCAGCGGCAGTTGTAGGCGAAAACCATAAATGGTGGGCTGGGAGCGTCTTCACTGGGGTAACGCAATTTGTTCCGTCAACTCTCAACGACTCGGAGGCATTAATTCTTTTTCATTTGTAGGTCTTGGAACTCGCGTCGGCGGGACTGTTATTGGCGGTATATATTACAAAACCACAGTTTTCCGTTCCAGCTTGAATTTGACAAGGTTCTATGTCGCCTAGTACTATACCCTTTGAATACATAGATCAATTGCCCTCAGGATACCAGAGACAACGAAGTGGGCCGCTGCAGGGAGGAATCCGAAGTCCACGTGCTATGCAATCCTTATTCATAGGGATTCTGCATGAAGAATCGTTTTTTTCAGGTGCTTCGCTTCAAGTTTCTACTTAGCATCCCATAGTAGTGTCCTGTACCTCAGTACCTGGACTATGTACAGGCATATAGCATCTCTTTAGTGCGCTTCGTTACAAATCCTGCAAAGACTCAGCACAATAAGAGGAATTCATGTAGTGATGCGTTTGGTGCGTAAAAGTACAAGATGGAGGTAGTACTACAAGACTCGAGAACGTTGTCGCCAGTATACTGTAGATTGACAAATCGGTGGCAACTGCAAGATGTAGGTCATTGGAACTATAGACGCATTAGAATGATCACTTCAAAGAGACTATTGAACTTTAAACGTTCCGGTCATTTCATCAACTAGTAACCTATTTATTTAAATCGACCGGAACTGGATTCCTGGAAGTAGCATTTTGCGCCTTGTTGTACTTTTGCCGGTCCTTTGATGGTTTCCGGGATTGCCATTCTGAAAGCGAGCCCCAAAAGAACGTATTAATTCAATTCGCTAGGCAGGTCGTAGCCAAGGAGAAAGAATTCTTCTCTAGAGTCTACAGTTTCGTGGACACTCGCTTTCGCCATCGCTGAATGGGAGCATCGGCCATTGTGCGATATTCTAGCACCAAAACGTCAGGATAACTGTTTGCTGGAAACAGATTCTGGGCTGACCATCTCTGCTGCCGCCCCGTTACGGGAGACATCTTGATATTGAGGGACGCGCTACGACTCCTGTTTATAAACCAAATCACGGTGTCGGACCATGTTCCTCGGGTCTAGATCCTTGAGTGAGTCCTGGGAGGCATACGTCTTCGCCACCACGCTGACAGGAAGGGTCCTTAAACGACAATGATCCCACTGAAGAATTCAAAGTTTGCCAGCTGCACGGTGTCATCGCATAATTCAACGACTACATACCGACTTTTCTGTCTTTTTTAAGAAGATGACGACTCTGTTGAACAATGAGACACGTGGACACGAGCAGAGCAATCGAGGGTCGCATAATTGAATCTGTCCGTTAATGAGACTTGGAAATTCGCTCGTCCGTGGAGTCGTACGAAGCCAACGGTGATGTAGTCTGACCATCGCAGCCAGTGTGCCCTCTTATCAGTGGGACAAGGTGGAGAACGGCCCGCGGAGATGGAGCGAAAGGGATCGTTGGCGACGCCAGCGCCAATGCCATCAAAGACGTCGGGGGATCTACCATCGTAGCGCCGAGAGGAGAGAAAATGGTAGGTACAGATCGATAGAATCATGGCGTCTTGGGGAACAAAATTGGCAAGCGCCCAATTTTATCGGCCCATAGGGATGTATGCTGACGGGGCCTAAAATAACACCTTTCTTGGGTTATTACTTGCATCATCGGTGCCTTCGAGATGAACACGAAAGATGTACGGAGGATGAGGAGAGAAGTGGAGCATCGCGAGACTTCTGAAATCCAGAGACGGTCGCTTTCAGACACATGGAGCTCAGGTTGACGCCTGCAGCAGGATCCGCATTGACGACGCGTCTTCCGAGGTCCAAAGTGGTCGAGCATCGATTACCCTGGATTGAGCTGGCGAAAAGCGCGTCATCTTACTTGGTAGAACTAAGCACAAAGTGGATTCGAGACCCACAGGAATTCAGAGGAAAACAGATATCATGTTTTGAGATTGTCGAGCCTGCGAGATTGCGGGAGTTGAAGAAATAGTAAGGAGCCAAGGTAGTCACTGCCGCTTTCGGACTTTCGGACTGGCGGCAATCAAAGCTGCTTCCTTCACTTGCGGACGTCCTCCTTGCCCACAGACACTTCTCGAGGCAAGCGCATCACACGGTTGGATTTAGATACCCGGGAGAGAGAGCTGTGTGAAGAGGCGGACGGTCGGCGTCGCTTATCGACCTCAAAGACTGGCTTGTCGACGACACACCCATCGCCCACATCGTTCCCGCCCCCAGTAACCCACACATATCCAACCCCAACACACCTCAACGTCGTCCATTTTGGCTCATTAACTTCTATTTTATGTAAGACAGGAGCTATGTTTCTACCTTCAACACCACCATGCCTGAGCCCCTCCCACCAAACCCATTCGACCCGCCCTCTCACGAACACACAGCATACGAATGCTGCCTGACCCTCGAAGCTCTTCGTAGCTGGGACGTGCCCTCCGAACCCGCAGCTATGTCTAGGTTCAGCCCTCAAGTCGCGGCTCGAGTCTTGGGTTACGCGCTTATCCTTCACCTAACCTCTCCTATGGCTATGGCACAAGAGATATCAGGTTACTGTGGTAATGCCGAGTTTATGTCGGGGTTGGCATATTTGTATGTTATGGGCGTGATTAGGATGTGTACGTCCACGTCTCAAGTCCCGAGGATGATCATGTTCACCACAACTAGGTAAGGGCCCGGTATCGACGCGTAGGGTCCAACCAGAGTCACTGCCAGAAGACATCGATATAGCGGCCCTCTCAAATTTGTCGCAATCCACCGATAGTGATGCTAGAAAGCTAGTGAGCGAAGAGCGTTGTTCAGGTTCTCAGCTGAGCCTCCAAACCAGGTTTTGGCACGAGACAACTACCGGTGTATAGTCTCAGGGAACGTGGACACCACCAGTCTTCGCAACGGGTTGACGACGATCGATTTAGCGGCTGGGGAGAGGAAGACGGATATGGAGCTGGGTTATATTTTCAAGACGACTGGGGATCAGGAACAGGGGTATATAAGAGAAGGACTGACGGATGCGGTGCGGAGGAAGGTTCGTCTTGTCTTTCCCCCTCATATACTTCCATCTAATTAAGTTGCTTGTCAGTTAGGTTGGGCGTCTTCTGCTGCTGCCGTTCTCGAGCGACTAGCTGGAATCACACTCGTCCAAGACATTCACGAGGTGGAGAACACGTTCACGATATCGCCTAACCTCCACGGTCTGTGGGGCCGACTCTGGATTTCTCTTCATCCAATTACCAGTGAGGTAAGTCACGCTGCAATCAGTCTCTTCCTCTTCGCTCCCTTCTGATCTGATCTACATAGGATGACAGCAGCAATACGTACGAGATCCACACTTACCCTCCCTCCGAAAACGCGCAGTACGGTCTTCCCTACCGTACGACGAATACCCTTCCCAGCCGTCGTTATCTCGCGTTCCACGATGCTTGTGCGAAGGTTGCGTATCTCTCGGGTGCGGGAGAGGTTATGGAGCAGCTATTCTGGGATGTGGGGAATGTACGAGTCTTGGCGGAGGATGGGGAAGACCGGAGTCTTTTGTCTTTAGCTCTGTTTCGTTCCAGCAACTTGTAAGAGTATACATGCAACAGTTATCACTACACAAACAGATTCCGAGTCGCGTCGGTCATACCCAATAAGTAAATCCGTTGAGAGGGGAGATGTACCATGGAACTGGCAAGGTGGAGGTTCGGCGCCTGGCCACTGCAGCTTAAGCCTAGGTTCTTGCATGACCGCCCCAACTTTGGTCGCAGAATCTGGCCCATGTTATTGTCAGGAAGGGAGGATCCCCATAAATCACATCTCGATGCCTCGTCCAGTGAAAAAGCCGTGTCGAAAACAGCCACCTCTCTACTCCCAAAAACATCCGGATCCTATCTTGGCGCACGACCTTCCCACGCCCAGTTTGTCGTTCCATTCTGCCATCGGTCCCGGAGTTCTGCTTGATGGCGGTTGGCGAACGCGGTCGTGATGCCTCAAGTTATCAGTACCTCGACAGTTAAAGTTGTTTGTGGGATCTTCTCAGTACCACATTTTTTATGCGGGCCATTGGTCTTGTATTGGGTCGACAATCTTTTAATAAGGGATCCACGCACCAAATACCAACGAGGCATGGGATCCACTGAGACTTTTTCACGTCGTAGCTACACAACACCGGTGAGATCTTGAGATGTGGTACGCAGAAAGAACTGTCAAAATTTGTGAAACTCACATGCTGTGGGCCTAGACTCTGCTCCGAATTCTGTCGTCGAACAGCCATGGTCTCTGCGTCCACGCTTGTCGGTATTTCCTCCAGTAACAAAATGACATGAGGACCTCGCTGCTGACTGTGGGAGAGGAATGTAGGCTCTTAAGAATGCGCCTTACACGCGGCTTCCACCCTAACATCCATGTCTTCTGTTCGTGCTGCCCAGGACAATGAGAATGACAGCCATTCATTGGCGTCCGACTGAGGGTGATCCTCATTCAAGTACTTCTCACATCTCCCATGATCATGAGCCAGAGGTCGAGAATTTGACGTCTTATTCTCACCGTCGACGGCAAGTCTAGGCGCAGGACAATGGGCACGGAGCGTCCTGAGTATATTGTCAGAGGTGCGTCTATTCTTTTCTTCCACGGCTGCTCGTCTTATGAAGAGCCCAGGGAATGATCCATTTGATTATGAACAGAAATTCCCAGAGGATAAGCAGTATGAGGAGCTGGGGCCAACAGCTGGGGTGTGGAGAACATACCTTGAAGAATGCGCTCCATTTGATAGCGAGATGGTAGAAGGGTGGAGAGATGGGTTAGACGTTCTCCTCGTCTTTGTGAGTACAATTGCCTAGGAATTGAGAATCCTTTCATTGATAGAAGAAAAGGCCGGTCTTTTCTCAGCGGTTGTCACAACATTTGTTGCTCAGACATCACAGAGCCTCCAGGTTGACTACGGCGCGGTCACTGCCTCACTTTTAATCGAGCTCATCAATGTCCAATGCTCCGCATCGAATGGTTCCCTCGTAAACGACGTCCCTCGCTCAGACCTCACCTTTGAAATTTCATCCCTCAGCGTCCGACTCATGGGTCAATGGCTTGTGGTTCACCAGTCTCTCATTGAGTCTCACGACTGCACTGTTCGCTGTCTTGACAAAACAGTGGATCCACCAGTACATGCTCTTCGTTACGTCCCCCCACCTCCCGCAGACACTTCTCGAGGCGAACGCACTACGCAGCTGGATCTGAACACCCAGGAAGGGAGAGATAAGCTGGGAGAGCTGTGTGAGGAGGCGGATGTGTTTCTACAGGCGTATCGGCCGGGAGGGTTGGAGGTGAGGGGGTTTGGAGTCGGGGTGGGTAGACCTGGGATGGTGTATGCGAGTTTGAATGCTTGGGAGTGGGACGGTCCGTGGAAGAATCGGCGGGGAGTGAGTGTTTGCTTTAACAAGCCTTGAACGTGTCTGATTTCTGCTGCTAGTTTGATTCCCTCGTCCAAAGTGTCTTCTACTCCGTCATGCCTTCCTGGGCCCCATCGACCTTGACTCGAATCTCACAGTGACCGTCTAAGTTCCACACGGGCATAGATTTTGATTCGCGTATCACTTTATGGGGAGTGGGCGGGCTGCGAGGGAGGATTGATGGGCTGTGTGTGGGTTTGGGTTTGACGTGGATGCCCACACCTCCAGTGATCGAGCACGATCGCAACCACCCTCGACCACCAACACCGTCTTGAGGACATGCATTCTGCTCTGCCATCCTGTGCAAGTCTCTGCAGCTCAATTTTTACAGAGCAACAAGTTTTGCGCCGACACAACATATCGACGCCCGGCAAGCACGCTAACAGGACGCAGTCAAGAGGGGACGGGCAGGGCGGGGGAGAAGGATGAGCTGGCGCGGGTGCAGGGTACATGCACCTCAGATAGTTCACCCATGGGTAACAATGAAATGCACGCACGACGTCCGATGATGTCAAGCGCAGCGGAGTACTTGGACATCCATTCTCCCCACTCGTGTGCGGACATGCCCCTTCCCTCCTACTGCCTTACACGACGTATTGGTGCCTGCCTAGCAAGGTTCAACTATTCCAGCATACAATACAGCAAACAAGACGATGGTTTTCGTCGGGATGCAGGGTATCAATCTCCCAGGTGGAGGATCACTGAGAGGGTAGGCCTGTCATCGAGACGGGATGATTGGAAGAGAGGGGGGTTTTAGTAGGTTTTCAGCTTTGTTTTCCCCCGTGACAAAAGAGTTGACGAGTTTTACAGCTCAGCATTGATAGTCTGCTACACCGTCGTCTTCCAGCTAGCGCCGTGCTGATTGAGTACCTAAGTGAGGCGTTTCAGGTAAGTATTACACTTCCTAGAGTGCAAACTTAGACTAATGGCGTGCAGTTCAATGACGAAATACACTCTACCAATGCCGTCGGGAGAACGAGTCACCAATTCAAGGCTTTCGACAGTCAAATACACCATGGGGCCGCTAAATTTTGTTGGAAAGGAACAGGACCCTTGACGGATACGACATGCGAAGGGGTATGCCCTGCTTTTGGGAGGAAAAACCAGTCTTTGGTGAGTGTTTGGTATCATTTTTGTCAGCTACTGTGTGCTCATCCCCTGTGTAGAACCTTTATCCCCAGTCAAAAGTCTGTGGACATGAGTCGATTACCACATATATCAGTCAATAAATCTATGGGTACCTGTCAGCAGCTAAGAATGGCCCATTCTATATTTACTTCGTAGGCAGTAATAGACGTCTGTAGATAGCCATATATTGATATCGATGAATATCTATACATGCCTAGATATCTACATAACCCTGCATACATTCGCTTGACCGGCTGCCTCGTCGCTTCCCGCGTCCCGTTGCAAGTCCGCGCCGTTAATTGATTCTAGTATCAGATGGTACTCAGTGCAAAGCCAAACGAGGGACTACACATGGCGTACCTTCTTCAGTGCCTTCATCTTGGCTTGCTGTGAGAGTCGTAGTAGGTGTCAAATACATCGGCCTTGCGGGTGCACGAACATTCCTAGTAAAATCCGTGAGCCAGACGGGGAGACTTTCATGGAAGGGGAAGACGTGGAGACATCATGGTCTTGGGGTATGTATAGCACCAGTACAGATGGTTCTCAGCATGCCAAGCTGTAAAAAGCGTCAGACGGCAACAAGGCGAAGGTTACTGGCCACCTGGCGTACCTTTGCCCAGGACAAAGACAATCACTACGCTCATCACCGTCTCTTCCAAGCAGAAAAACCTGGTTATATGCGGTCTTGTAGGTGCTCTTCCGAGTCTGTAGTCCGATTTTGACGCGCCGAACGCGTTTGCAGGTTTTCAGCAGTGTAATACGAGGTACCGGTATCGTGAATATGGCCAAAGCAGCACCTACAAGGAATCAACGAGACGAGCAACATCATCCAGAAGTAATGGCAGGGGAGCAGCTAGTGGTCGCGACTAACAAGGTATTGGATGGTGGCAGTCATGACGGTAAGAGGGAGAGGGACATTCGGATTTAGCCGACGCCTTGCCATTCGGATTACTGTGCCGCGCCACCTGGGAGTACGTCTGCGGGCTGTGTACCTCTCAACGATTTCAACACAGGTGCCCGGGAAATTTTCCAAGCGCACTTGTGAACAATTTTTTGCCAACTTGGATCAAGGTTATGAGTCTGGGTTAAGCAAGTTCATTACTCCACAGATCTCTCTACATACCCACAGGTGTCTACGAATCGACTCGTACCTGTGGATGTCAACCCAGGCCTACAGACTTTTGACTGGGCTTTATCCTCCGAAACGAAGACTACACTGCCAACGATGCAAAGTTCTCAAGGTGCGTTTCCTTTATTTTCGGTTTCGATTTTTCACTTATGTATCATCTATTTTGGTAGGAATACAGTCACGGCATCAAATTCTGCGTAACCATGATGCGCGCTGAACAGCTAACGCCTTCGACGTCTCGTGAAATCAAACAAAATGATATTCGTGCCAGGAATTTCGAGGCGATCGTCTGAGGCGCAGGATCTTTTGCTCGGATTAAGTTGATTTCGCTGGGAGGGGGGTCCTTTTTTCTTAGAGGAGCTATCCTTTTATCCTTGCCAAAAATTCCAGGACCAATGGTCGTAAAGTAGATGAATCAAAACCATGTTAGTTCTATTTCCAATGTCTTCGTATTCTTATGTTAATATGTATGGATACTCTGACACATCTTCGGAGGAGGGTGAACTTGGAGCGGGCCCCTGTCCGGGGTTCCTTCTCCTACATGAAGTTTTGGGTTGATGGAACTGTAGGCTTCTAATGTCACCGCGTGTTATCGACTGTACTCTTGTCTCACAGCGTCGTGAAGGCTCTTGCTGTCCCTCTTTCATCGTTGGACTGTGGTTGATCATAGCAGGAGCTGTGTTTACGAGCCAGGTCATTGTCCAGGACTACGTGTGGCCTGGCAACAGTCGTGTTAATGACGACGATCACGTTCTTCGCGTTGCATGTATCTCCAAGGTTCTATAGAAGAGCTTCAGAGTTATTACCAAGACCTGAAACCCCAGCTTCTCCGAGTCGAGGCGAACAAGTCCCATCCTCGATTTTTCCCCTCCATTACCTCCTACCGATCCAATAACGAGGACTTTGGATTTACATATAGTTCGCCGCTGGATTTGGATAAAATGTGTGTGACGTTTTTAGCGACCTTGGATGCGGAGAGGAAGGTCGTGGTCAAGTTTGTCGATCGTTGTAGTGAGGAGGTGCACAGGTTCAATTTGGCGGGGCTTGAGCTGGCGCCGGGGATTCTCTATGTTGGGCCAATTGGCGAGTCGTACGGCAAGCTGCGGATAGTCGTTACTATGGAGTACATCCAAGGTCGAACACTCGTGGCTGAATATCGTGATGGACCACCGTCAAGAAGGCTGTCAAGGAGGGTCTCGATGCACTAAGACTTGGTTTATGGAGATCTTCGTAGGCAAAATATCATGATTGCCGATGAAGAGAACCGGGAAGGTTGGAGAGGTGAGATATCCGCTTCATTTGGCCTCTTGCATATCCGAGGTCTCTGGCGCACTGGAGTATGATCTCTAGACTCGCTAGCCAGTCGACGTTCACAAGCTTACACCTCTTAATGCAAATTCCTTATACGGTTGTTTGGTTATTTGGTGTAGCTTGACATGTTTTGACGTAGGGAGGCGCCCAAATGTGATAACGCAGCCACGTGGGCGAAACGCCGGCTGGTGAACGAGCCTATATGATCTCATACTGAAAGATCATGATATGAAGATGTTGGATGCCTTGTGATGTGTATTTCTAGAGTATGATACACTTGCCCCGTATTAGCACGATGAAATCATTCAAATATAAGGCTCGTTGACCGAAAACAGTTCGAGCTGTAAGAAGAACAAGAGCTGTACACAGCGTACAAATCACAAGCTCCTTTGTCTGGGCACCGAACGATGTATATGTTCTACTGATACCAATGCCCTGGGTTAACGTCACGCTTTTGGCCCTCCACCGGCTGAGAGACTATGCCTGCTAGCAGATATACAAGAGTGAATATAAAGAAGAGAACGAAAAGGAGCATCCTTCTCGATAACATTATTGCCATTTGTGCAGTTCCAACTTGCATGCCTGCGAGAATATGAGACTTGGGTTTATCGACCATATCCTGCATGAGCAGACAACCAACCACGGGACGTCGCTTCTGTTTTGTTTTTCCCGTTCGCGGTGCGGAAAGCGTTGCATGTACCCTTCTCCACCAGAGAATATGTAATCCTGGAAGGTGTGCACGGCCCGTCAGTAAAAACGGAGGGATTGAGCGCATCAAGCTAGATGACGAAGGGGTATCCTTGCTTGGGTGCTTCTATTATAGATGGTGGTTAGACATGTAGATGGCGGGACATTTCTTCTTGTTCACCTGCTGTGACTACGACCTTCTGCTTGCTGCTACGATGACGTTCCCTTGCGTGCTATTTGACGATGGATGGCCCGCTTCGATACCCATCGATATCCAGACTTGGACATAGCCAATGGCTTGTGGGAGGATATGGCGAGTTTCCTGTGTCTCTTTGAGTTGTACGCGAGCTATGGATTTGGTGGTGATGTTCTGAGTGGAGGAGAGGAGTCTTGTGCTGAGGTTGTCTTCGGTGGTGCCCGCTCAATCTCTATCTCCTGTGAAGAATACTGTGCCGAGTTGTTTGTTGTTGACTGGCTCTCAGCTGGAGAACGATGCTGCAATGTCTCCGCTAACTCCGCTTAGTTCCCTGTCATCGCCAAAGAGGAAGAGAGACGACGATGAGGAAGAGTCGTAAGAAGCAAAGATAGGTGGGATGGAGAGGGTATTCAAAAGGAAAAGGTCGAGGTGGATCGAGAGCGATACCCATTGTTGTACCGACTGTTCTTGCTAAGCGACTTTGGCGGCATGGCAGGCGCGACATCGAACGCGCTGATGAAAGGCTGGGGTGACTTATACATGCCACAGTGGGTCAAAGGGTGAGGTGCGGAGCAAGATCTATGTTGAACCAAGGGAACCGGGTGGGGAAGGATGGGTTATGTGGCTTGGCATAAAGTTTAGCGCATACAAGTCCACTGGATCTTCGTAAATCTGCACTAATGATTGGAAGCTACCATATGCAATACGGCCACGGAATCAGTGCACATACTACAAGGCTGTTCAGTCCTCTGCTGGCCTTCCGCGATGTGACCAGGCCAAATCCAGCCAAAGGCGAAAAAGGGTCTGTGATGGTGGGCATGTACCATCACTGCAGAAAGTGGGTGCCCATCGAAGGGGTGAAGGACATCCAAGCAAAGGTTTGAGAGTTATTTTGGCGGAACATACTGCAGCGTACCATGGTGCGAGCTACGCTACCAGTGCTATACCAATGATTGTCAAGAACCATGAGGCCATGTTGGTTGCCATTGAAGTGGATCCACGCAAGGTCGCTGTCATTCATTACAAATGCAAAGACGATACTACTAGCGCATTCGGTAAGGGTCAAGGAACAAAAGACGTATGATTCATGCCTTCAGAAGCGAGAATTTGAGGTGTACAATACTGTCAAGCCAGCAGTCGCACAGGCGGCAGAACCGAGCTATAAGTTTGAAACGAGTCTTGCCGTCGAGCCTATTGGACCCTTCCTCAGGCCTCCATGGTCGTCCGGAAAGGCTCTGCTCTGACGTAGATAAGTAGTGAGTTCACCAGTAACCTGGTCCGGTGCATACCTTCTTCCGGCGCAAAGGTTGGGTGTCTTGGGTTTTGCGCCGCTCTCCGAGTCACATCCCTTTGAAGCAGATATGTTTTTGTCTGCTCACCATGTAGCCTAACGAGCTGTTATCACAGTCTGTTGATATAATGAGATAGTGCAACTTGAAACAGCATGAGTGCACATGCACCTGTTCTATCTGACCATAATCACTCCATGTCTAGTGACGCTCCATGGACACCTTTGAGCTCTGCCAGCTAGGTGAGGACGACGTCCGGGTATCCAGACCTTAGAACCGAATGAATTGCAACATGTCGATTCAGAAGGGATAAACAATCAGACTATTGTCAGAACTCGCAATGCTTGGTAGTCGGCTCAAAATGTCCTAGGTTGCCAAGTTGAGCGTAATGTAGAGAATTTCTTCTTTCCCATAGCCGTTGTTTGGTCTGGTTCGGTCAACTTCCTGGCAAAGCAACATCGCGGTAAGAGATAGAGAGTGTGCATTGTTTACTACGCCAAACAAAACCCACTTCCTCGCCTTCTTGCATGTCGTTCCACCCCTTCCCTTGCTGCCCTGGTCATCGATGCAATCGATTACATGCTACTGCAGCACCCTGCCTACTATCAAACAGTGTACCTCTTCGTCACACAAGTTGTTCAAATGCCTTGAACTCGACAACCAGCGGGATTTTCTTCGGGAAGATGTCAACGTCGTCATCGGTGCAGCACCTGGAGGGCAGAGTCAGGTAGTATAGTCTCTGCGGTACGGATCCGATGAGGATGGCTCGGCTTTAGGTATGCTCCAAATGAAGATACTCAGAGTCATTGTGTCCTGGCAGCAGAAGAATGGTAAAGCCTTGGTGGGCGTACTTCTTTCCGTCATTGGTTCACCACATGATGCTTCGCACGGCCTGAATAGTGTTATCTGGTGGCGCCAGCGTTGTGCGCATCGTTTACGGATGGAGAAGCAGGGTACAGAGACTTGTCGGTGCATGTGTTCTCTATTCTCCAGTGAATTATTGTCTGAATCATGTCGCAAGTGGAATCATTTCAGCAGTAGCTAGAGTCGTCTGAATGCCATTATCTCTGTCTCACTTTCACTGGCGCTTCTACATCATTGCCACTGGTAACCTCAATCAGGTGTTACTCGCTGCTGTCCTTGTCATCATTCGGGGTCTTGGCACGGCTCGATCCAGTCTCATCATTTTCAAAACATCACAGAACTGGTAAAGCTTCTGTTACTTCATGATGAGTCTTTTCATCCACCAATCTTTTATTAGGCATTGTAGAGGAATTTGGACTAGCATGACGAGGACTACTGGTCTTAGGCTTGTATCTTCTGTCATATATACTCAAAATACCATCTCTTTTCGTCATGTATAATCATTTGTGGTACCATTTCAGACTATCACAAATCAAGCCACCATCAAGAAGGACGTACTGGTGCATGGATTCGTCCGTGATCCCTCTACAGCAATGCACAGATCACCACGCCTTCCCCATGACATCTTGTCCTCTTACGACTCGCTCGCATTCTCATCTGAAAACATCTAGCTATCCATCCTCTATTGGAAGGTACGGCGGCCTTCAGTTTGTGCATACCATGTCCGCTAACCTGAAATCTTTAGAATCTTATTCATCGATGGCCGATAACACTTCTAACAACAGTCCCGTGAATTTGCTGTCGCTTGGTGCATTCTCCATGTTCTTCATGTGGTTAGCATTTACTAATACATGAGACAGATGGCGGTGGGATACATGGGGCATCTCAGCTCATCATTCTCGATGAGATCATGAAGCGTATCCAAGCAAAGAAGCAATTGACCGAGGTGCCGAAACCTTGTGAGTATTTCCATCTCATTAGAGGTTCCGGTACTGGAGGGTGAGTCACTTGGTCTAATGTTGACTCTGTGGAGGCTAATATTAGTCTTGTAGTCTCAATGCAATCATGCTGGGTCAACTGAAGATGTCAGCTGAAGATGCACTGCAAAACTATAACAAACTTGCAGCTGCTGTATTCAGCTCTGACAACCATAAACCATTTTACAAGGATGGAAAGTTCAAGGCAAGTACCTTGGAAGCACAGATCAAGGAGATTGTCAAGCATAGCCATGGGGGATATACTGGAGATGAGAGTTTGCTTGATCCAGATGCAGGAAAGGACTCAAGTGGCAATGTGTATGTTGATTCTGATTATATTCCTCTGCTCTTATACTCATCTCTATCAGGTTTGTCTGTGCCAAAACTATTGTCAATGTGGAATCCCCACAACGATTTCGAACATATGTGGGACTTCCCAATCAAGGCCCAGATTGCAAGATCTGGGAGGCTGTCCGAGCTACAACTGCAACTCCAACCATTTTTAAGTCCATCATGATTACTGATCCAGGAGAGATCAGTTCTTTATATATGGATGCAGGTCTTGGTCATAATAATCCTTCGAAGGAAGTCAGAGAGGAGGCAATGCAGCTATTTGGTAGTGATTGCCATCTTGAGGTGTTTCTCAGTATTGGTACAGGTCATCCTGGATCTAATGGGTTTCAGCGGCCAAAGAATATAGAGAAGATTCTATCTCTGCAGCTGATAAAAACTATTACAAATATTGCTATTGATTGCGAGTCTGTTGCTTTTGACTTTGCTAGACAATATAACAACAGTCTAGGAATATACTTTAGATTCAATGTCATGTATGGAACTGGAGCATTGAAAGTAGATGATTGGCAGAGAGGGGGAGATGTTTTAGCTCATACAAATGCCTACCTGAGAGATTCTGATGTAGTTAAAATGATTGACAAAGTTACAGAACATCTTTGTTCTAACTCTAGCTTGGAAAGACCTCACACATTAAGAATATTTGGTAGGTTTATTTATTTTATAAGTTTAAAGAGTATCTAAAGTCTAATACAAATGTAGCTGGACATACAACTTCATCTTTAAAGACTTTTATGGTTTTCTTGTCAGGCTCTATATCATCTCAATTTACTGGACGTGATAAATATCTTTCTAAGCTCAAAGATTACTTTGCACCACGTAAAGATATAAGAAAAAGACGACTTTTATTACTTCATGGAATGGGAGGAATTGGTAAAAGTCAAATTGCTTTAAAATTTGCTGAAAATGAACAGCATTTAAAATAGTAAGTTGTTTATAGTATTTTTCAAATAAAAAATTATTAATAAATTGTTTTTTTTAATTTGGCTTTTCTATTATATTTTGGATTGATATGATATCTGAGAGCACAGTTGTTCAAAGTTTAAAAGCTATTCAAACTCAATATAGTGATATAATATTAAAGTTATCCAATGCTCAAACAGATAATGAGAATGTAACACTTGATTGGATCTCTAAATTTTATAAAGATGAATGGCTTTTGATATATGATAATGCTAATCATTCTGATATCCACTTACTACAAAAATATTTACCTTTTGGACAAAGAGGAAATATTTTAATTACAAGTCGTAATCCATACTTAAAGTATATCACAAATCATAAGGAAATAGCTGTGCTTCAAATGAACTTAGAAGAAGCTATAAATCTGCTTTTAAACACTAGTGGATTAAACCATTCAATGACTAATGATACACTTGCAAATGCTATAGTTATAAAACTTGGTTTTATACCATTAGCAATTAATCTTGCAGGATCATCCATTCATTGTCATTATTATACAATTTCTGAGTATGTGAAATGTTTTGATAAAAATCGAAAAAATATATTATCAAAATATGATTTGTTTATAAATGAACAGAATATATATTATGTATGGAATTTAACATTAGAAGCAATTCAATATCAAGCAAAGAAAAATAACTCAAATGCAGTTAATGCACAATATACTTTGAAAATCTTAGAACTTTTTGCATTTTTCTACAATGAAAATATATCTGAGGAAATATTTAGTCGTGCTGCTTTAGCAACAGATATTGATGAAAATTGCATAATAGAAGAGAGTTATAGCAAGTTGTTGGAAGTCAATGATGATAATGAATGGAATTTTGAGACATTTCGAGGAGGCATGCATATTTTATTAGCTTCTTCACTTATAAAACGAAATGAAATAATGGGAACTCCTGTGTATTCTTTACATCCACTGGTACATGCATGGTGCTATGATAAATTGGAAGATCAACAAAAAATAAATCTTGTTAAGACTGCAATGATTATAATGGGAAAATCAGTACCAAAAACATGGAATAAAAAAGATTATATCTTTCTTCAAACATTAAGTTTACATCTTATAAAAAATGAGTATAAAAAAATCGATTATGTCAATAGGCAGCTTGAACAAGCATTTTTACAAGATGGAAATTGGAAAAAAGCTGAAGAATTACAATGCTTTATGTTAAAGAAATATAAAAATGATTTGGGAAAGAAGCATTTTGATACATTAAATACTATGAATACTTTAGCAATAACATATAGTCATCAAGGTCGATGGAAGGAGGCAGAAGAGCTGCAGTTGGAAGTACTCTCTTTACAGAAGCAAATATTAGAAGAAGAACATCCTGACACAGTGAGGGCTATAAATAATTTAGCAGCAACATATAGCATTCAAGGTCGATGGAAGAAAGCAGAAGAGCTGCAGTTGCAGATTCTGTCTTTCCGGAAGCAAATATTAGGAGAAGAACATCCTGACACAGTGATTGCTATGAGTAATCTAGCATTAACATATGGTAATCAAGATCAATGGAAGGAAGCAGAAGAGCTAAAGTTACAGGTACTCTCTTTACAGAAGCAAATATTAGGAGAAGAACATCCTGACACAGTGAGGGCTATGAATAATTTAGCAGCAACATATAGCATTCAAGGTCGATGGAAGGAAGCAGAAGAGCTGCAGTTGCAGGTTCTGTCTTTCCGGAAGCAAATATTAGGAGAAGAACATCCTGACACAGTGATTGCTATGAGTAATCTAGCATCAACATATGGTAATCAAGGTTGATGGAAGGAAGCAGAAGAGCTGCAGTTGCAGGTACTCTCTTTACAGAAGCAAATATTAGGAGAAGAACATCCTAACACATTGAGTGCTATAGACAATCTAGCAACAACATATAATGATCAAGGTCGATGGAAGGAAGCAGAAGAGCTAAAGTTGCAGGTACTCTCTTTACAGAAGCAAATATTAGGAGAAGAACATCCTGACACATTGAGTGCTATGAATAATCTAGCATTAACATATGATAATCAAGGTCGATGGAAGGAAGCAGAAGAGCTGCAGTTGCAGGTCCTCTCTTTACAGAAGCAAATATTAGGAGAAGAACATCCTGACACATTGAGTGCTATGAATAATCTAGCATTAACATATAATAATCAAGGTCGATGGAAGGAAGCAAAAGAGTTAGCATAGGTACTATCTTCACATAAGTAAATATTAGAAGAACAGTATTGTGACATACTTATAGATGATATATTCAATCTATAATAATAATACATATAAAATACATAGTTAAAAAATTCTCAGTCAAATTTAATAACTCATGAATTATTAGTAAATACATTCTTTCTTTTTATATTATGAGCCTACAACCTGTGTCTTCATCACAATTGCTGGGGCCCTTGCACCTCAGGACCCAGCAACCTGACTATAACACAGGTCTTCAGCTCATTGGAGCCCACTCTAAACCTGGCTTTTTATTTATTAAGTTTTCAGGCATTAGTTTAAAGAGAAAATATATTATCAGCATAATAAAGTCTCAGGATATATAATATTTGAAGTATTTGTATTTTTTTCTTTATCTGGAAAGAGAATTTGAATCTGTTGCCTAGAAGTGCAATGACTAAGTGCAACATAAAGCTACCCATAAGAGAAAATTGAAGTATGTAAATCTAATCCAACATAAGTAACTGCCTGGCCTTGAGACTTGTTGATTGTCATTGCAAAAGCCAGTCTGACTGGAAATTGATGATGTGAAAATGCAATTAGGAGTTCAGCTGCATCTCCATTGATTGTAATATGTGGAATAAAGACAGTCTTTCCTGCATGATTATCACTAAAAAGACAGCATTCTAATACATGAGGGTGAAAATGTGTTAGAATCATCCATATCCCATTGCATAGACCATTTGCTGGATCCAGGTTGTGAAGAAGCATAAGAGGACATCCAACTTTGAGAGCCAGGTTTACTCATGATAATCCAGATGCATTGAAGTTTTGAAGAAATTCAGCTGGATAAAGCATAGCAGCATCATCCAACTCATCCTCCATTATCTTATCAGAACTCCAATACACTGTCTCATGGCCTGGAAAAATATGTAAAACCTGTTGATTGATTTTATCAACATCATCATTAAGTTCAGACAGAATTGTTCATTCCAAAAAGAAGTGATCAGAGAATTGGTCAGCCTCAATGTTTGGATAAATGTATTTGATGAGTCCAGAAAGTGTGGAGTCTGTAAGTCTTGTGAAAGCAGGCAAAGAGATAGTATAATCTTCAGTGAGTCTTTCACCTGCACCAACAGTAAGCAGCTAGCATGCAAACTCAATATTTTCTGAAGTTTGATCTAAACACATGTTTTTCTTTAAGTGGATAGCTTGAATGTGAGACCATAAAGATGAACAATGAAATAAAGCTGCAACAATCTGCTCTCAGGATCCTTGTGGAACAACTGGCAATGTTTGCCAAAAGTCATCTAAGAGTGAAAATAAGAACATATTATTTATAAGAATTTTATATGGAAAAATCTATTTGGCTCCCCCAGGCAGTAGTTGCATAAGCTACTCCCCTTCAGGCACAGGTATGGCCACAGAGGTGTTGTTTTGATCCTACTCCCCCAGTCATCTTAGATACTATCATAGCATCAAGTTCATGTACTAGGCTCTGACCACTCTCCATACTGATGAGGACTTGAAATACTCTGAAAGAGTATTTCTTCTCTATTGAATGTCTTGGCAAATTTCTTTGTCTGCTGTTATTTCCAGTCTGCCAGGCCAACCAGTGGCTATGTTGTTGATGAGCTTCAAGGCTCTGTATGCTCAGAATTCATGGATTTTAGCATTATAATAAATGCTTTGTCCACTCAACAGACTTTTACTAAGTCAATGATTGCAATCACAGCAATACCCACTTTTACTGCCAAATATCCTTCCCAACTTGTTTTCTGCATCAATATGTGCCACTTCATTAATGCTGCCAGGCACCTGATTGCAGATCTCATGGATTTAGGACCATCATTGATCACCCAGCATAGCCATTGATGACATCAGGATCAAGCATCATTTAGAAGAATGCCACAGCTAAAGTACTGATTCCATGGCAAAAGACCTAATACCATGACCTTTCCACTCACTTTACTAAGGCTGTTACAATGCCAAGATAATGCTGCATGCATCTACTTCAGTACACTCACTCCAATGTCCTTTGCTGCAGCAATACAGCAACAAAAAGTCCATATGTCAGTGGAATTCTTTCTAATCACTAAGTCTATATGCAGTAAAACTGTGTGGGTGCTGTTACTTTAGAACTTTGGGAGCATGTGTTTTGTATCTGTAACATGCATGCCAATGGAACCTGATTCCAAACCTAACTCCAACAAACTGCATTCCAGAATCCTATAGATTCCAATTCTCAGTTTCTATTTCATATTCTATTTTATATTTCACCTCTTCATTTTAATTTATCAATAGCCTGACATCGGTAGTGAATATGTCATCAGACTCCATCAGCTACCAACCAGTAGACTACAACCTCTGACCACCCTAGAATGTAGACCACTCTGAGTAGGAACTAGATCAGACTCCTAAGTAGTATATAAGCCTTAGAATTACACTGTAGATACTCAGTTCAAATATCAACTTGGTTCAGCCCAATCTGTCTCTCTCTGACTCTAACTCTCACTCTCCAGTTTATGGAACTCTGATCCATTGGACTTATCTCTTATCTCGTCTCTGTCACTCCGTGGACTTCTGTCCATATTTATCTTAGGGCTTTGGCTCAGGGGTGATGTTGCTAATAGCTTTGCCTACACCTGATGCATTCCACAGCATTCTGCTATATGCAACTTCTGCTGCATTCCTATTAGCATGTTTCTAACAGTATATTTGAACTCAAACTCTTGAGTCGAAATTTCCTTCTAAAAAATCATGTCTTCTACTTTCACCCTCTCTCCAGAAACCAGCCAAAACTCCATGGCCAACAACTGAACCTATACCATGGATGATATCCCTGCTTCTGCCTCAAAAGAGGGTCCTCTTTCCTTTGGGTTAGATTCTGCTGTATCCCAATGCCCCTGTAGGGAATCTTACCTCCACAGTGGTTTCACTGCCTGCCAATCTGATGCTAACAGGTTGCCTAACCCCTTCCTAGCCCAGCAGTCAGAATCCAATGGCTGGAGCAAGTATTGAAATGACCCTCTGTGGAATCCACCTACATCCTTGTTTGATGATATCCAAAGTCAGGACAAGGAAGACAATCAAGGTTTGGAAGATGGGGACTTCAATCCTCATACTCCAATGAATGGCTGAGGATGCCCATTGGGAAACCCTGATGGTGGCCCACCCAATCCTGGTGGACCTGGTGGACCTGAAGGCCCTCCTAATAATAACCCTGGTAACAACCCTAACCCCCCTAATAACGATGCCCAGATCCTCATCCAACTCATGAATGTCCTCTGCAGCATTTCCAATGCTGTCAATGGCAACTGTCAGCATGCTGTACACACCAAGGTCAAGAAACCAGATACCTTTGATGGTTCGGACTTCCAAAAACTTAAAGCTTTCATTGTCTCCCTCCAGTTGAACTTCAACAACCATCCCAATGCATTCCAATTGAATACTGCAAAGGTCAACTATGCTATCTCCCTCCTTTCCGGTGTCGCCCTTGACTGGTTTGAACCAGATATCCTCCACCCTAATCACTGCAACCCTCCTGCTTGGGCATACTCCTATACTGCCTTCCTTTCAGAACTCCGAACCAACTTTGGTCCCTTCAATGCTGTCGGTGATGCTGAAGATGAACTTGAAAATCTTCAGATGCATGATGGAGACTGCATCATGAAGTATATTGTCAAATTCAATCAGTATGCTGCCATTATTGGTTATGGTGATAACTCCCTTCATCATGCCTTCTACCATGGTCTTTGCTCCTGCATCAAGGATGATATGGCTCATCATGGTGAAGAGGCTGGCTGTGGGCACCTGTGGAATAGTGAGCAGGCTAAAAGGCAAACCTCAAAAACCCACACACACACTCACACAACTACACAAACTACAATCACCCTTATAAGTTCTAGGAGGAGCAATTATTTCTAATGCGATCCAACTATACTTCAATATCTCTGAGAGTTTCTCTTATTCTCAATGCTCTTAGCAAAGCTAAGCTTTCTCTAATGAATTCCTAAGTCTAGGAACTTTTACAGAAAGGTCATTCACTGGCATGATGCAACCTTCAAGGCAGATTGGAGTTAAAATACACAAGGGACACTGATCCTGACAGAAACAGAGGCAATACATGCCGAAACTTTAGTGAGCTTGCTAAAAGAACATCACAGGCAAGCACTGACTTAGCCCACTTGCTACACAACTGTGTGTAGGGGTCCTCCAACTAACTCCAGCAGATGATCTCGACTCAAGAACACTTTAGAAGTGCTTGGAAACAGATTCAGAAATGAAACTTCGAACAGAACTGACACGGAACAGACTGAAACAGAACAGAACAGAACAGATCTCAGATTTCCACTTCAAAACATTCCCCAAACAGACTTATCACACTTAACAGAACAGAAACAGCATCACTGAATCATATTCACTCTGGCTAAGTTCTCTAAAGTCTTTCTCTAAAGGTTTCTCATATTTCTCTGAGTGAGCTCACTAACTCTATACAAAGCTCAAAGTCACAAACTGATCCTTTGCCACACCACTACTTTCAATGCATGCACTGGAACTTGGGGGCTCGAAACTTGGCTTCTACCTACTGTAACCAACCTACTTATACTACAGGGGAATGAGAATTACAAATGTCGTGCAGTACCCAGACTCCTACATGTGTAGCATGTTGCCACTGCCACCTTACTGAGCATCCAGGTCAGACTTCTCAGTTTTAGTCTCATTTCTATAGTGAGCTCACTGATGGGCCTCTAGGCTCTGTGTGGTCAGAATTCGCAGATTTATCAGGCTTTTCTACATCAGAGCACAGCCATTGATCTTCAGGCACTTTGATTGCAGATCCTGATTGATCAAATCCCATCATTGATCTCAGCACATAGTCACATCACCCTGAAATAACTCAATCTTGATGATGAGTTAGAGAATTATTTAATTTGCAACAGTCAGCAGTGGTTTAGAGGTTACTAAGACTGTTTAATTCGCTAAGCAAACCCCAGTGGATTGCTTGGTAAACTTGTTACAAAGCT